ATCCCTGTGCACTATGGGTAATTTAGCATGGCCAATCCACCCTAACCAGCACATCCCTGGGCACTATGGGTAATTTAGCACGGCCAATCCACCCTAACCTGCACATCCCTGGGCACTATGGGTAATTTAGCATGGCCAATCCACCATGACCTGCACATCCCTGGGCACTATGGGTAATTTAGCATGGCCAATCCACCATGACCTGCGCATTCCTGGGCACTATGGGTAATTTAGCATGGCCAATCCACCCTAACCTGCACATTCCTGGGCACTATGGGTAATTTAGCATGGCCAAGCCACCGTAACCTGCACACCTTTGGACTGTGGGAGGAAAACATGCCAACTCCACACGGACACTCACCACTGAGGGTGGCATCGAAACCAGGTCCCTGGGATGTCCAACCAGGACAGAGATTTGAGAGGCTCTGCTTTTTCTGCAAGAACGCGAGATGGCCCTTTTGCAAAGACGGGGTAAGCACGGAGAGGGTGAACTTTGCTTTGGAGACGTCAAGCTCAGGAGTCGCAGCCAATTTGGATCGGGACGAGGAAGGTGGGGAGAGGACCTTTGGAATTCAGACGTGTTCATCCATTGAGAAAGCGATCGGGTACTGCGGGAGGTTCTGGGCGTGGGGGTGGGTGGGGGTAGCGTGCGATTTTGAGGTGAGAGGTCGGCCCTGACAGAGCAGGCTGGGAGAGGCCTACTCCAGAAGCGACTCCTTCGGCCCTCGTTGGCAAGGCCAGCGGGGTTGGCACCTTCAATCTGAGGCGCCATCTCTTAGCCTCCTCCGCCACGACCCTCGGCGGGCTTGAGCCTCATTAAGTCCCCTCCGCTCATGCCGAACGACTTACCCCTTGGAGCACTGGAGGGTGGGAGTATCATTCAGGAATCTGGGCAGGTACATATTGAACTGCTCGACATCTGGCCGGATGATACCACTCTGACCGGACTTCATGCACTTCTTACGGCAAGCAAACTGATCTGGGCGAGATGGAAGGGAAAGAGGTGAATCTGGGCCTCGGGCTGAGCGATCTAATGATGGCGGGGAGGAGTGGCGCATTTCCCCCCTCAACAAACCCAACATGAACGCCCCACCTTCCAGACCATCACTGCCACTTATCCCGCTGTCCGATTGGCCGGTCGGCTGAGGCGTCGCCGTGGAAACAGGCTCCCGGAATGCCCCGCTGTTTCGGAAAGGGCACGAGGCGCGAGCGTAGTCCCTTCGCGGGCACAGAGCGGTTTACCACAGCCTCCCACTGCCCCTCCCCGGCATGGGAAGGGGTCACGGGACCAGCTCGGCCCACCCCCCCGGGCCCCACTCCCCCCCCTCACCCGGGGTACGGCGTGGGCAGGGTCATGGGACCAGCTCGGCCCACACCCTCAGGGCCCCATTCCCCCCACCCGGGGTACGGCGTGGGCAGGGTTACGGGACCAGCTCGGCCCACGCCCCCAGGGCCCCCCTCACCGGGGTACGGCGCAGGCATGGTCACGGGACCAGCTCGGCCCACGCCCCCAGGGCCCCCCTCACCCGGGGTACGGAGCGGGCAGGGTCACGGGACCAGCTCAGCCCACACCCCCCAGGGCCCCCCTCACCCGGGGTACGGCGTGGGCAGGGTCACGGGACCAGCTTGGCCAATGACCTCAGATTGTTGCGCTCGGGCCTGCCCCATGGGCGCCCATCAGCGGCCATTTCACTTTTTGCGGGTTTCTGCGGGGAGGGGGAAGGGGGAGGGGGGTGCGGGAGAGGGGGAGAGGGGAAGAGGGGAAGAGGGGAAGAGGGGAAGAGGGGAGGAGGGGGAGAGGGAGG